TTCAGTTCTTCCTTCTGAAATGATGGAGCCTGATACACGATACAAGAGCATAACAATGAGCAAGGCAGTAATTCACACACACACACCTTCATTACCTATGGTGTGTCCCATGAGTTCTGGATTTGTAAAGCAGCGGGGCTTTCTAACATGCTAAGCAAGGCAGAGGTAGAAGGGAAGGTGTCAACTTTGCTTCCTTTTACTTTTAAAGCTAGATATGACTTCATTTCGCTTATGGCTAGAAGTTGACTAGTGTGCACTTTATAAAAACATTCTGTTGCCAGAGAGAGGGGCACATGGAATCAAGAGTGTAAAAAGTCAGGGATGGAGACACACCCCTGCAATGCCAGCACTCGGGAGGCTTGCCCAGGGAGTGTGGATTTGAGGCCAGTCTGAGCTACAAGTTAAATAAATAAAATAAATGTTAGGAATGTGTCCTTTGGAGCAGCTTCTGATGTCCTGTCCGTCTGTAGTCTTTTATGAGCCAGTCTTGCACATCAAGAGCCTGCTAGATTGGTAGGGTATCCCCAGAGCCTGGGATCTTTTGACTGGAAAGATAGTTCTCTTCTCCCGCTGGTGCAGGTGTTCCTGGGGGTAGGTTCCTCCTTTTGCCAGAAGTGACCCAAGGCTGGATGAGGAAGAGGATGTAGCTGATCTGGCTTGTTCTCTTTCTTTGGACACTTCCCTTTGGAACCCAGCCATCGTTTTCATAGGAAAGGCCAGGCCACGAGGAGGAACCATGTTGCCGCGCCTGCATGAGCCTCCCGAAGGAGCCAAGCTCCCAGCCTCTGAATCTTCCAGCCGTGGCCCACACGTAGAAAGCAGAGAGATAGATCTTCCTCCCCTGTATCACTCTCTAAAATTCTTTTTAAATTAATAGTTTGCCTTTACAGCCATTTCAGGCTTACAGTAAAACTGGGTGGATCTTAAACAGGTTCTGTGTGTATATCTCATCTGCACACATTCACAGCCTACCCCACGATTGACATATACCTGAGAGTCCACATCTGACACATTGTCACTCAAAGCCCATAGGTTGCATTTGAGTTAGCTCTTAGGATTGTACATTCTATGGCTTTGGAGAGCTAGGTAGTCATGTGTTATATCATGACGGGAGGTGTCCACTCTAGCAAATGGCATAGTTTACCACCTGTCCATCTGCTTCCCTCACCCCTGGCACCCACTGATCTCTTACTGTCTCCCTAGTTTTTTCACTTTGAGAAATGGAATCATTTAATAAGTGTGCACTTTTTTCCCCATTCCCCCGTCTTTTCATGACTTGATGACTTGTTTCCTCTTAAGACTTTATCAGTTCTTGAACTGTAAACATCATAAAAACGACCGCTATAATTTTAAGCCACTAAGTTTTGAGGAGATTTAGTTTTCAGCAATGGAGACATGATAAGAGAGGGGCTGTGAGTAGAGACACAGGTTCAGAAGTTGGACTTGGGGCCTGAATGCAAAGAGCAGCAAGGAACCCTTTCCCTGCTGTCAGTTACTTAGATTCCATTGCACCGATCATCTCCAGTACTTACTGCAGCATAATGAATCACCCCGAGTTAGGGGCTTAACACAATAGGATTGTTTAATAACTGCAGTTATGTGGCTTTTGCTTTTGGTCTGCCACATGGCTGCAGTGAGATGGGGCTGGAATCATCTGGACTCATCTATCTGGAAGGCTTCCTCCCATGTTTGGTGGTTGTTTCTGACAGGCAGCTGGAGTAGCTTCTGATGTCCTGTCCATCTGTAGTCTTTTATGAGCCAGTCTTGTAAATCACATACCTCACTTCTTCCAGAGTCACGAGTCTCATTTTACGATCAGGAGGCGGGATCATGGGCTTTCGCCTCTGGTGGATAGTATGTCACTGTCATTTTGGAAGAAGTGAGCATATCACAGTCATTGCTGTTTTGGTTTGAACTTGATCCATGGCACTGTAATGCCCATGGTGGACATAAGGCTATAGAGTGAAGGTGAGAGACAGGGAAGGTGACAGCTTCTGTGACTGGGAGGAGTGGAGTCTGAGGGAGACCTGGCTCTGCCTGGGATGTTCCAGAAGGAGTTGCCTGAACTGGGCTTTAAAGAATGCAAGTGGCGCATAGGTCATTTCAGGATGAGGGCGCCCGCTGGAGTAAAGACCTGAGTGTATATGTATGTGTACTCATGTGGGGAGTACATAGCCCACTGAAGTCTGAGTATCGTACAGAGCCTGTGTAGGTTGTAATGGAAGATGAGGTCGAGAGAGTGTGAGGAAATTTGTTGTGAAGGCCCTTGTGTGTCATAATAAGAAGCCTGAGGTCCCCCACCCCCCATTCCCTGTGGACAAAGCCTCTGATGGCTTTTAAGGGAGATTAATGTTGTGACCAAGAAACTTTTACTATAATTGGGAAGGTTGCTTAGATAGAGGCCAGCTGGGAAACTACATGGAGGCTTCACCTTTAAGTCTGTTTCATAATAAGAGTCCAGGTTCAGGGGTTAGAGGGGTTCAGGTGGGAATCTGGCGGTGAATGAGAAAGTCTGTTTTCATAATTCTGAAGTTACTGAGACTAACTGTATTTCAGAATTTAGAACTTTTTGTATGAAAAAAATGATCTGGTCTGTTTACTATGTTTTACAAGATCTGAAGCAGTGCACTGTAATCCGTCATGTTTATTTCTGTAGCAAAATGGATGCACCAAGTGGAATAAAAACTGTAAATAGCCTCACATTAAATTAGATCAGATTTTGCCACATCAGTTTAAAAAGACTTTTCCAGTGGTTTGGATCTGGGAATTGGGGTGGGGTGGGGGTGGGGGGATGGTGTCCACATGGGAGCCAGTGTTTGGGTCACAGGAACTTGTGAATATTGAGGGACTTAGCACAGCAGCCTGGCCTCTGTGCTGGCGTCTTTGTGACCTTTGGCTGGAGGGTTTGCAGTGGTTGCACTGCACTTTGAAGAGGAGGGGATTTGCATGTCTGCAGGCATCCAGGAGGATGTCCCGGCAGCTGTGAGTCAGGACTGTCTGGTAAAAACTGGGGGAAGCAGATTGGGCTCCCAGGTACACACCCTCAGCCTGAGGACCACACATCAGCTAATGGAATTGTCTCCCTTCTTCTCCCATCCCCTTTTCTAAAGCTTTCAACTACTCAATTACTTAAGAGGCAGGAAATTGGGGATAGGTAATTCTGACTATTAGAGAGGAAGGTCCAACATTGAACATCTCCAGGAAACTGGGCTGTGCATGATAAAATAGGTACTTTCATAATTCAGTGGAAATGAACTTGACATTTCCCAGAAGACTGATGTTGTAGAATTATAGGGTGCCTGGTTTCTAGGAGGATGACAGGTGGTGACCCGTGTGGAAGTGGAAGGAGACTTTATAGTTTGTATATGTGTACACACACACTTAGATTTCTGATCCATTTGGAAGTTATCCTTGTCTATGAATCTAAATTTGTTTTTCCACATGGCTATGTAACTCTTATAACCCTATTAATGAAACTGTTTTCCCCCAGTAACTTTTAAGTATCATCTTAATCATAGTCTAGATTTCTATGTGTTACGGGCTTATTTGTGGAGTTTAAGTCCTGTCTGGTGGCCTGTTAATGTACCAGTACGGTTTTAATGACAGGGGCCTGTACTATGTAGCATTTTAGGATCTAATAGAACAATTCCCTTTCACAACTCATTTTATTTTCCTACGTACTGCTTGTATGCACTTTCTCCTGTGAACTTCAGTGTCATCAATTTGTCTAGGTTCATACAAAAGAATTTTACTGGAGCTTTTGGTGCTGTTATGTCCTATCAAGGAGAAGGGATGATCTCAAGTATTTTTAATCTCATGTAGGTCTTGAGTGTTTCTTGTTAAAAAAAATTTTTTATTATACTACAGCTTTTGTTAACAGGGGTTCCTTATCTCTCTTCTGATGAGTTGCTATTTGTGGATAAAGACTATTGACTTGAGTGTTAATCTTTCCATTTGGTTTAGTTTTGTTATTGTTTTACTTTGCACCATCAGCGAATAGTTTTACTCTTTTGCCTTCCATTTTTAATTGTTTTCTATGATCCAATTGCATTGGCTGATCAGTGGCTATTTAGATCTTGGGTAGCACGGCTTTTAATCATTATTCTTATATTATTGTGTGTGTGTATGCCAGTCATGGGGCTTGAACTCAGGGACTGGGTGCTGTCCCTAAGCTAGTGCTGTACTACTTAAAGCCACAGCTCCACTTCTGGCTTTTGATGGTTAATTGGAGATCAGTCTCACAGACTTTCCTGCCTGGACCGGCTCCTAACTTGGCTCCTCAGATCTCAGATCTCAGCCTCCTGAGTAGCTAGGATTACAGGTATGAGCCACCAGCACTAGGCTATAGATATTGATACAAATTAATTGTACAAACGTTCACTGTGACTTGCTGTCTGCCCTCCTATTTCCTCATGTCCCCCCCCTCACCTCCCCCCATCAGCCTGAGTCCCTCCTACACTTTTTAGTGGTTTTTTTGTTTGCTTCCCCAAACAAGAGAAAACATATAATACTTGTCTTTCTGTTTCTGGCTTATTTGGCTTTACACGAAGCCCTCCAGTTTCTTTCCATTTTCCTACAAATTACACGATTGCATTCTTCTGGCTCAATAATACTCCCTTGTGTGTGTGTGTGCCACGTTTCCTTTGTCCATTCATCCGTGGACAGGCATCTGTTCTCCAGCGGGGCCCCTGTGGATGGCGACAGCATGGCGTGTTGGTGTCTCCCGCCATGGGTGGGAAGGCCTCTGGTGCTGCCCTCCCGGTGGGAAAGGGGATTTGGTTTTTAAAGTCAGTCGTGGTGAGCACCGTGGGATTGGAGGCCGGGTTGGGGGGGCGGCGGGAAGCGGGGTCTGGGCCTCGCTTTGCCTGCTTTGGGGGCTCCCGCCGGGTTGGGCGCGGCCGACGGTGTGGGGAGCGCTTTCCCGAGGGTGTCTGCAGCCGCCCCATCCGGTGTCGCCAGGTCCTTGCGGTAACGGTTGCGTTTCTCTTCTCTCCCTCCAGGTGCGGGTGGCCTCCTCCTCCTCCTCCTCGTGCTGGGGTGACCGCCCCCCACCGCCACCCCCGGGCAGCCCGCGGCCTCCCCCGCGGGGGCAGGATGCTGAAGAAGCAGACGGCAGGGCTCGTGCTGTGGGGCGCCGCGCTCTTCGTGGCCTGGAACGCGCTGCTGCTGCTCTTCTTCTGGACGCGCCCG